GGTCTTCAAGTTGCCAAATTTGAGAAACACTGGTTTAGCGTCATTTCCTGCTGTTTTGCTTTCGTTTTCCTTCTTCCCTACCTTTCAAAAGTGGTGTGGGTCAACGGGGATAGATTTATGCTGCTCTTTGTTGGAAACGGCATGGATGTAATGGCCAAGAAGGATTTGTTTTAGTTCTGACAGAAGGCACCAACATGTTTTGATTCTCAAGCATTCTTTCTTTTTCTCTCCCTGTCTGTTCAACAGGTTGGTTGTTGGAGCCAGTTGTATCTTTTATACTAAGCTGTGTATTATTATTATTATGGTTGGTCGCACAGTCAGCCAGATGTTTAGACTGGATTTGGCCTTCTTGTCTACCGATCGAGTCCTTCCCAAGGACCTGGGATAGGCAGATGTTGCTGTTGGATGGCGTTCAAGGCACCGTCGCAGGATGGAAGCTGTTCCAAGTCAAGCTGCCTTTTGCAACGGACCGATGGCGATGATTATATTACTATTATGTCATGCATGTCTTTGATGGCTCCGTAATCCTTGTGCCATTTTCTGCAAGTTGAAATCCACCACGAAGACAGCATTAGAGCAGCACCACAACAGATTCATTCATCACACCAAAGACACGTCCCCATCTACAATTCCATCAGCTTTCCTTGCCTTTAAAAAACGGTTCGGTCCATGCGAAAGCCGCACAGTATAATTCTGCTGATCGTGTGGTTCAACCACCAGCCGCATAATTTAAACCCTTCACAGTTCTCAAAACCCCGAAGAAGGTCAGCAGGAAAAGAAACAGATCTTCATTCCGAGCTTAGTTTTACAGTACCATTTTGTTCCAGTGCCTGTTTTTTTTTTTTAAAAAAAAAAACCCTGCCGCATTGAACAGGTTTTACTTCCAGCCAGAATGTGCATAGAATTATTTCCTTAGTGTTTCAAAGTCAAAGAGTTGAATTATTGACCTGCCTGGCACAGTATCCAGTTCTGCACAAAAATAGAGACTTTGTGCCAGAAAGAACAAAATTACCGTTCACACACACACACAGACACACTTAACTGCACAATGACACAGCAGAAGAGATGAGGCAGGAATATCTCTGCATTTGAGCAAGAAATGTGTCTGATACTCAACACCGATAGTTTTTTTACGCCCCAGGTTGCAAACGAACGTTACGGAATAAGAAGCTTCAGGCTATCTAGATGCCACAAAACGTTTCCAAATTCTCGTAAATCTTGCCATTTTTCGTTTTCCTACCTTGTCTTTCTCAAAAATCAAGCAGAATTGGTTTTCTTTGACCCAGGTGCTCGCTAGATGTTTCCCTCGAGTGCGCCGGCTTTCTGACCGGCCTTGGATTGGACACCACCGTTATGATCCGGAGCATCCCGCTTCGAGGATTTGACCAGGTAGCTGCTAATCCGCTTTGCTTTTTGGGATTTAACTTGACCCCTTCTTGGCAGAGGGTTGTCCCTTTGCGTGAGGCCCATCGCCGTACGAGAAGAAGTCAGAGGATCAGCTGAATGACTGGGTTCTGAAATATTAAGCAACCGTAAAACCAACTCTAAACAGAAACCAAATCTCAGTACAGTTTGCTTGTAGTCGGTGTTTGCTTCCTCCAGTTGGTTGTGTCCTTTTTATAGGTATCTTTCTCCCCTTTCAGCTGCCTTATTCCAGATGTTTTCCTTCTAGAGAAAGGGATAAACCCACTGCCTGCTGGCTGGCTTCTGCGAATCGTGTAAAATCATAGAAAAGCATCAGTGATATTGAAATTTCATTTCCCATCGCTTTCCCATTCTAAAAGAATGACACGGGCGTTATCATTGGAGTGATGGCCTTCTTTGGCTTTATTTCTTTGGGAAGTAATTAACATCGGGGTGCCACAAAGCAGGTGTGTGTGCAGGGTATTTATGGGTGATGCACGTTAAAAAAGGGCAGACCTTTGACCACACTGCTGTGACCACCCCTTGGGCATTTTTGACCATGCCCCGCTGACCCCTCTGCCCCGAGGCCTTTGACAGATTCAGACTTGCATCACCGTTGTCTCTTCGTAGCAAATGGCCAACTTGGTGACGAATCACATGGAAGCCTCGGGGACCCGGTTCCTAAAAAAATGCAGCCCGACCAAGGTCAAGAAGGCGGAAAACGGGCGGCTGCGCATGACGTGGAAATACGCGGAGTCCGGCAAAGAAAAATCGGACGAGTTTGATACGGTGATGTGGGCCATAGGTAAGAACGACTCAAATACCTGTAAAACCGCTTTGCTCTGGAGGAGCAACTAACTTTGCAGGAGCCAAATGGTATCGTTTGGGAGATACATGTCAGTTCCTCATTCCCTGCAAAGTTAGTCTGGAAGAACCCTAGCTTACTCTGGAATGCAAACACCACCAACGTTTTAAGATTCCACGAGAGACCCCGTCTTTTATTTCTGCTCATTAGCAAGGAGTTTTTCACTCCAGCTGTTTGGGGTAAACCAACGCAGCTTCCCATCCCTGCCGTTTCCAAATCCAGAGCTAAAGTCTAGGCGTTCCTCCCCAAGGGACTAAGGATTAAGTTGGTTAAGAACTAAAGCTGCCTAATTGACGTGTGAGTCACTGTTGGTCTGGTTTTGTTTGGTTTCTAACTCTCTATCCACACATTAATGCCAGGTGTCTGTGCCAACAGACCGGGAAACGTAGTTCTGTGGAGCGTTTCCTGCCTCCAGATGTGTCCATCACAAACCCTGAGTGAAAAGGGACAGCTTGCTGAGTTTGGTGGAAATCGGGCTCCTGCTGAGCCTCCCTAAGCTACTTAAACAACAAATCTCAGGACTTGAAATGCACTCCATAATGGCACGCAGGCTTGGAGTTGTCTGCGGAGAGTTACAAACAGTTCCAGGCTGACAAGGTTTACATTTTCTGTCTAAAGAGAAGGATTTGTTTTCAAGGGGGCTAGCGCCCTGAATAGGTTTGAAGAGTGTGCATGGATGTGTCAGGCTGGTTGATTGAATGATGGATTACGTGCTATCAGGTTGGTGTTGACTCTTAGTGACCACATAGATAGATTTTCTCCAGGAGGATCTGTCTCCAACCTGGTCCTTCAGACCTTCCAGCGGTGCTCCATCGCTGCTGTAATAAGTCCATCCATCTTGCTGCTGGTCATCCTCTTCTTCTTTTCCCTTCCCCTTTTCTCAGCATTATGGACTTCTCCAGAGAACTGGGTCTCCACATAATGTGTTCAAAGTAGGATAATTTGAGCCTGGTCATTTGTGCCTCAAGTGAGAACTCTGAGTTGAACCTTACGACATCCTTGTGTCCCTTGGAGTTTGAAAAAATATATCATTCTTAAGTGTGCTCTTACTTCCGACATTTCCTACTCTGTGTTAGCCTATCAAGGATTTTGCCTTGGTTTTCTTTCTTTTCTTTTTTTTTTTGCCCATGTTCAGCTTGGAAATCTTTCCATTTTTTAATGTGAACGGCTGATGTAAGAGCTTTTCGTATTTGACGCTAAAGGCGAGTTAAAATAGCCAGATTGACAACCACATCAGTTCGGATTACCCAAGAAAATAGTTTTGTTTTAAGATGCTCCCTCCCTGCTCCAAGTGTTGTTTTGATCAAGTCCATCTGTTGAAACACGCCTTCGGTCTCTCTCGGGCATCACCTTCCAGCTTCGTCCCCAATGGAATTGAGAAATTCCAAAGTCAGCGGAGCTGTGCAGAAACAGTTGGTGAGGCTCTGTGAATGTAGGAATTGTAGACGCTCATCTACACAGGTGTGTGTGTTGTACACGTGTGTATCATAGTTTGATCATGTGGGACTTACACACCTTATGATGAACCAAAGAGATATTTTCAGAACTTCAGTGTTTTGAAACTCTGGGTATTTCTGATGCTGTAGCTACAAAATGCTGGCATGGATGTTCTATAAAGATGTGACTCGAGAGAAGGAAGATAAATCATTTAAGTCTTGGGATAATTTAAGGAATGCTTTAGAAGTGGATAAGACAATAATAGGAAAACGAAGCAGCAGTTCTGTTGTTGCTATGCCTTTGGAAAAAATGTTCCTAAGCAGGGAGCCATCACTATAAAGACCCTGTTACCAGTTGGGACATCTCCAAAGACAATGAAGCCCCCAGTGAAGAGTCTCTTTTGCAGATCAGGAACAATCTTAGGGGTTCAAATGAGGAAAGGTGGTCTTTGCAAAAATCCAGCGGGTCTAAAGGAATTCCCATTGGCTAGGGAATTCTGGACATGGAAGTCCACATATTTGAGATGGAAAGCTGTACTCTCAAGCCAAGCATGAGGAACCTGGGGCTTTGCAGATTCCTAACTACAACACTCAGTAGTTCCAGCCAACATGTCCAGTGGTGAAAAACATGCTGAGCGTAATCGTTAAGCAACATCTGGTGAGCAGAGGTTAATCTAGAAATATCAGATTATTTCACCAACCACGTCCATCTGATCTTGACGTTGGGTGGATGGAATTAGGTCTTAATTTGGGGATCGGAGCCACTGAGGCAAAGAGCCTGAAACTATACTACGTTAAATGTGTTGTTTTAGTTATTACGTCCAGAATTCCACTCAGGGCACACCCGAGAACAGACCGTCATGCATTTGGGTGTTTTCTTTCATGCAGCCCAGATCTTGGCTGAGCTTGGAACCCAAAGGTTAAATCAGTGTTGTCCAAACTTGGCCACTTTAAGATGAGTGGACTTCAACTCCCAAAATCCCCCAGCCGGCTGGCTGGGGAATTCTGGGAGTTGAAGTCCACTCATCTTAAAGTGGCCAAGTTTGGACAACACTGGGTTAAATGTTAGCTTGCAAGTTTGATGGCTGAGCTGTTGTTTTCGCTGGAGGGTTCAAAAGTAGCCCGGCTACAGGGCTTTGCAACAGGGCCTTTAAAACCAGCTGACCCCCCCTTCCAAAAAACTTTTTTTTTAAAAAAAGAAGAATAAGCATCATCTGCCACATCGCGTGCTAACGTTTCCAGCCGGGGCCGGAAAAGGGGACCCTCGAAAATCCCCCGTTCGCTGCCCGTTTGCCCTCCTCGTCCAGCTCTCCTTCCCCGTACACAAAGAAACAGAACGGTAGGAAGTCGTTTCACATCCGAGCGGAGGTTTGTTGGGGTGATTATTTTTGGTGGCTGATAGCATCAGGGCCGGAGAACGGCGGGCAGGGAAAGGAAAAGCAGATTTGGATCTACAGGGGGGGGCCGGGGGAGAGAAAGACAAATAAACGGGGGCCGACAGGATCC